GATGTGAGCCAGCAGGAAGCCAAAACCAGCAAGGAGTCACCTAGATCCTGCCTGAGAAAGCCAGCTGCGTGGGTGAGGAGACCTCCTTTGAGAGACCTTGGAGGTGGCCCACCAGGGTTTAGGGGAGTACCCTCCTGGAATAGAGAGGTTCTCAGCCTGGTTGTGGGAACTTCAAGAAAGGTCTCCATCATGGGAAATTCTAGAGATGTACAGAAGCTAAGATTCATGAGAGAGAGGGAGAGAGAGCTCTAAGCATCTGTCTGCCCCAGAGCCTGCAGTTAGCTCCCACTGTGACATCAACTCAAAAGGGAGCTGTCTTAATGCTGCCAGGGAGGAGGTGTGGGGAGAGGAGGCCCCCTCATTCTTCCTTTCCCAGGGAAGACTTCCAGTGCTAGAGAACTAAGCAGGGGTGGGGAGAAGATTTTGATGCTGGCTAAACTCAGTGTGACTTTTTGATTAATATATTGAATCGTACATTTAATTACTGAATGGAGACTATACCTTCAAGTGCCCCTAGGACTGTGTGTGACATAAGAGGGAGCAGAAAAGCTTGGGGCTGCTGGATTTTTATCCAGAGTGGACAGTGTGTTCCCCACTGAGTAAATGTTAAAGGAATGGTGGGAAAACAAAATGAAGTTACATTCGATTGCCTTTAGGGTTGTGGTTTTTCAAAACACTTTGGGAAAAGCCCCTCAGCCCAGGCAAAAGGTGCACAGCACAAGGGCTCTCAGAAGTCCTGTGTGTGGCTATGGTGGCCCTCTTGCCCGCAACCCTCTCTATACATAGCCAACCATCGAATCCCTCAGTGGAACCACAGGACTCAAATCCCCACAGTAAGAAGTAACACGAGACAGCATGTGACCTGTCCTAGTGACACTTGAGCAGAAGTGGCAGGACAGCCTGGGCAGGTCTATATTTGGGCCGTCACTCATGGCAGGCCTGTTGCTATTTGCAGCTGGAGCCAGCTCGTGTTTCCATCGCCTTTACCCCTTTGCAGAGCCCTGGTGTAAAACAGGAAGGGGCAGCCTGCGGGCATGCAGAGGTCACAGAGAGAAAGCCTGCCGAACCGGGGTGCAGTTTTCTAGCACTATCCACAGCCTCAGCTTTAAAAGAGGNGGTGGAAATCTTAATGTATTAAGAAGATGACCAATGTAAAATGTCTTCATTTTTTTAATCAATTTTTCAAAATAAATTCAACATATCTACAATATCATCTAAACATTAAGGGTGAACCCAACAGGCAAACAGAAATTGAATCTTAAATGTGACTAAAGAAATACTATGTAACAAATAGTAAATCTGATAAAATAAAGACATAAAGAAAACATACCAAAATATCAAGCTTACATGAAGTTGCAACTTCTCGCATATCTCTGAATGGCTGCAGTAAATACTGAAAGAACATGGTTGCCACGGTAACTAATTCCTGGTACACTTCATCTTCTTCTTGATAAACTTCCATTAATGCTACCATGGTGCTGGCTTTTTCATGCCCTTGAAGAATCTGGAAGGAAAAATGTAAATAAAGCTCAAGTATTTAGAAGATCACACCAAACAAACTAAACAAAAGAAACCTTATTGTTGTAAACTTCAATACATTGGGGGAAAGGCAAGTTCAAAATTTTAGCTCAACTACGTACAAAGTACTCAGACAAAAAGGACCTGAAAGTCATCAAATATTAACAGTGGTTATCTCTGGGTTGTTGATTGTGGATGATACTTTTTCATCACTTTTCTGATGACAAAGGTTTTGCCAGGTTGTACTCCATTTTTATATCCCATGAGGACGTTACAGAGTTGTGTCCAAATATGGCATCATATAGACTTTCTCAATTCCCAAGGTTAATAGTGCTATCAAGCCCCCAGCACAGTAGCCTCATTTACAGTCACAACTGTGACTCGACTCTCTGCAGAGCGCTTCTTCTGATACAAGGTAGAAAACAAACTGCGCATTTATAACAACTCATAATGATAATGATAAACTCGTTTGGTAAGAAGTAAGAATTATTCCCAGGAGAAGATAAAAAAATCAAGTAATAGTATAGTATTTTTTTCAATCAATACAACCTTAAATTCTTCTATTTCTACCCCTCGACTGACGTCTTCCCTTACGCCTCCAGTTCCTCAAAAGAATGCACAGAAAAATCATCCAGAGTAAGAACAGCCTCTTTCCCGATACAACAGCCTGCTCCGCCAATATTTTCAGTAATTGGAGTGAAGGGCCCACCCTGGCTCCTAATTGCTCTGATTTAACCTAACACGTCCTCTCTGCGTCTTCCCCGCAGCATCCCTGACTGCCCTCTGCAGGTGAAGGGCACCTCTGACCCTGCGTCCCCTTCTCCTCCTCACACTGTGAACTTGCGCCTCCACGGCCCGAACTTCGTGGAAGATCCCCACTCTCGCCCTCGAGCCCCTCCTACGGCCCGGACACTAAAAGGAAAGGGGGCGGGGGACCCGCCAGCGTACCTGGCCGAGGCGCGCGCCCGCCTCCGCCCACCGCGCGCGCAGGGCGCGCTCCCGGAAGGCGCGCAGGCTCTCGCAGTCGGACGCGCCGCCGTCGGCCGGAAGGAGCGCATCACGTACGGCCGCGCCGCCGCAGCCGTCGGCCGCCTGGCCCAGGTAGCGCTCCAGCCGCCCGCACAGCTCCTGCAGTGCCGCCTCGCCGGGGCTCTTACGCGCCGGCCACACCAGGCCCCACAAGCCCCAGGCCCCGCCGCCGCCCGCCTCCAGCTCCGGCGGCAGCGCCGGGAAGCAGCGCTCCAGCGGCGGCCACAGCGCCGTCAGCTGCCGGTGCGCGCCGCGGAGCCCGGCGGCCGAGAGCAGGCCGGCCCAGCTGGGAGGGGGCGCGGGCTCGGGCTCGGGCTCGGGCTCAGGCGGGGACCCCGGCTGGCTGCCCTCGCGCCGCCGCCGAAGCCGCTGCGCCGTGCGGTCGTGACAGGTCACCGCGAACTTGCCCTCCGTGTCGTTCCAGGCCACGAGGAAGCGCAGCTGGTGCCGCTCGGGCTCCGCGAAGAGGTCCTCACGGACCGGCACCCAGCCCTCCAGGCTGTCGGGCTGCTCGTCCTCCATGGCACTGGCGGTCAGCGGCCGGAGGGTTCGGCTCCCCGGGGCCTGGCCTCCTCACAGTCCCCGCCACAGGACCGTCCGCGCCGCGACATTTTTTCGCTGGACCGTCATCACGTCAGAGCCCCATGACCGCTCCTGCGGCACTTTTGATTGGCGGTCGGCGCCGGAGGCTTCCAGGATTGGCCGGGGAACAGAGGGCGGGTCCGCGACAACCACTGAAAAGGCCAAAGGTCTGCCTGGGACCCAGCCCTGGAAGTCCATCACTGTCGCAACGTCGTCGGGAGCCCGGGAATTCCCCACTCTTGCCTCACCTTTAATACCTTTGTACTGACTGACGTGGGAAAAGTATTTGTGAAACGAGTCACTGTGAACACTTGAGAACCGGGCCCCAGCTGATAACTTCTTCTGTCGCCAGGGCCCTAGTGAATGCATGGTTCCTGCTCTCAAGGAAGGTACACACTTGTTAGAGACATCAAATATTCAGTTAAACCTAAGAGTTATTTGTGGAGGCCCTCTAAGCGCCAAGCACTGGGTACCAGCCACAAATTGATGATGCATTCAACAAGCTTTTATGGAGGTTGTGCTGTGTGCCTGTTTGCGCGGGCGGGGAGGGGGCGCGTACAAAAAGATAACTGTCCTCAAAGCATGTGGACACAAAACCTATCTGCGGGTTTCATTTTTAGAAATAAGGAAACAGACCCACCCAGAAAGGAAACTTCACCATATACAGAGACGCTCCGGCTAAATAAAGACCGCTTGCCTATGGAAGACCTGTTGAAGGAAATCGGGCAATCTAGTTTGCATGGGAGGATGGAGGGTGGGGCGGAGCTGGACCTGTTCACAACAGGGAACCAGGCAGCCCTGGTCGGTGCCCAGGTATGTACCCGCTCGCTAGCTCCCATCCTGTGAGTGCACTGAGCAGGGTAGTGGGGGGACGGAGAGCGGGAGGGAGGTGCCCAGGGAGCCTAGAGGAGACTTTCACCAAAACAAGGCTTGGGAAGGCTTGACTCAGGAACCGGTGAAGGAGCTTATGAAGGTTTTGAGCTGGGACAGCCTGGAATCAGATTTGCACTTGCTGTTATGCCCAAAGTAAAACAACCACAAATACCAACAAAACAACACAGGACCCGGCTGAAACTATGGTTAGGGCATGTCT